TCGGTGTTTTAGGATGGGGACGACCGTACTGTTTTGATTGCTTTGAAGAAATTCATTAACCCATGAATTTATAACAAATGATTACTATTATGATGTAATGAGAGATGAGGAATTGGTTGGAATACATTTTATATTCTATTTTCTTGCAAATCCGCACAAATCAACAGGTATGTGTAGCTTTAATGATCACATATACACACACTATATTGAACTTAACAAATTTCGACCAAACCTGCTGCCAAATTTAACAGCTAGAAAATCGACCTATTATTTCTCCCATTTCCATTCGATGAGGGGATAACGGATGGTCAAATTTACACCTATGACATAAATCAAAATACATTAAAGTTATCCTGTTTTCTCTGTACAAAAGCATCATGTTGGAATCAAAAAGTGGTCTTGTTTATAATACAGTCGAATTTTCACGATTTTATTCAACATTTTAATAGAAATCACTGATATTCTGAGACCTTTGACAGCTTCCGTCAAATTGCATTTCGATAAGGTATTTTCCTATTGGTCCATAATATTAATGTTGGTGAAATCGGCTCTAAATCTATCAAATCACAGGCAAAATGTGCTGATTATTTGAGTATTTCGATGATCAAGCTGTTTGTCTGTAACATTGCTGTCTATCACCCATATCATTGACAGTTGCCTTGCAAACGGTACTCCCGAAGCGTGGAGAAAAGCCATAGTAGTTCCAGTACCTAAAATTGACGATCGAGAGATTTTCTGACTTGCGACCTATAAACCTGTTGTCAGTTATTCCAAAAATTTTAGAAAAAGCTGTTCAGCATCTAGTTTTGGAATATGTCAAGGAAAACAATATATTGCCGGCAAACCAATCAGGTTTCCGCAAGCATCACAGCACTACCTCTTCTCTATTAAACATTTGTGATGATATCTTCAGAGCTTTAGTTCTTGTGTCCATCGATTATTCTAAAGCATTCGATAAAATCAACCACTGCGTGTTGCTTGCCAAGCTAAGTTACTATGATTTCGATCAAAAAGCAAATAGTTTTTTCGGAACTTACCTAGAAAATCGTACTCAATGTGTTTCTTTAAAATATTAGGAGTTACTATCGACCAGAGACTTAGGTTCACAGATCACGTAAAGAATCTCCTAGAGAATTACTACCTGCGACTTCGTGCTTTATATGCTAATAAGTTTATCCTCAACTTCAAATTGAGGAAAAACACTGCGAGTCACTTACTGTAACACTTTATTTTATCCTTGCCTCGAAGCTGTAGCACAGATCAGACTGCAGGTTGTTTAGAACAGTTGCGTAAGGTGGTTCATCTTTGGTCTCAGACGATTTGATCATATCTCAGATAACTGCACTTCTTTGTGCTTTTTAAAAATGACCTACTTAGTGAAGTTTACTGACCTTATTTTCCTCCACAAATTAATGCTTACATCTGAAACTATGTATTTATCTTACAGAAAATTTAATTCTTAGAGGTAGTGCGCATTATAGATGCTAACTTTAAAGTGATGTCCTTAAGAAAATTTAGGAAATGTAAAAAAGGCTTTTTATTAACGAGTAATAGTGGAACACACTATCCATCGTCATTGCTCAATATTGATGTCCATCATTTGTCATGTGCATTCTTTTTCCTTCTTTTGTTTATGTGTATAGCAATTCGTAATTTGTACCATACTTTACCTTGCTGTATGTGATATAAGCCAGCTTGGATTTTATATGTATTTTTTTGTTTTTCTCGTGCCACCAAATACTTTGTATACCTTTCCGCACTAGTCGTTAAGTGTAAGAATAGCCCATGTCTAATACCCGTATCGTCAGTCGTCCCTATAATTGTAGGGCGCGTTTATGGCCTCCTTGATTGTCATACTGCTTTTACTGCTTTCTCTCCTTCAAAAATTTTTAGACTACACTTGTCCCGTGTCAGCGTCAGCGCTCTCCTATTGTGAAGATATGTTTTCTTTTTAAATTGTAGGAAATTTCAGGCTGATAAAACATGATATAACTCAAAAGCAAGCACAATTTGACGTAAATAGATGTTTGTGACATAACCTCAAAATACAGCGCTGACACGGAGAAGTAGAAAACTACGACAATCAAGGAGGCCATAAAGGCGCCCCCTACGATTGTAGGGACGACTGACGATACGGGCCTAGGCTTCGCCACTGGTGTAAGATCTGATGTGCCTGTGTGTGCTTAATAAAGACGACTTTATTATTATTATTAATTTAGAATCCAGTATATAGCAGTCTTGGACGCGTCCTGTTAAAGTACTTTTCATCTGTTGTTGAGATTTTGACATAATTAAAAGTTCTTATTTGATTCTTTACTACTACTATTACTACTATTCTGAAATAGTGTAGACCATTGATTCCCAAAGTGGTCTATATCGACCCCTAGGGGTCTATGACAACCTGCCAGGGGTCTACGTCAGCGAAAAAAAATTTGGGGGTCCATGAAATGAATATGGGGGTCCACGATAGTGGATCTCAACACATACACTGATAGTACCTATTTACTTACATCATACTATCTTATAATATCAAAACATATGCATTATTTATAAAAGTACCTATGAAGTAAAAAATTTATTATATATACTAAGTGACATATAAATCCGAACACCCAGTTTAAATGGTTTTATTTTAATAAAAGTTGGTAGTATTATCTTACTGTAAATAACAAGTGAAAAAATTTTCAGCCTTATCAGTTGGACATTCCGGTTTGTATACTGCTTTTTTTTAATTCACTAACGCTCTAGAAATGAATATTTCAGCCGCAATAAAGAATCAACGTTGGCGGATTTTGGTTCTTGACATCCTTTACGATCGGTTACGATGCCTAGAGTACGGAGACCTGTACGATTTCGTCAACTTAGTGAGTTTGATAGGCGCCGTATAGTGGGACTTCGGGAAGCTGGACTTTCTTTTCGGGCAATTGCAGTTAGAGTGCAAAGAAGTGTAGACACTGTGGTTAGGTGTTGTCAGGCATGGCTTCGAGAAGTCCGTACGCAAAGAGCAAGGGGCACTGGACGCCGCCGTATACCAACAGACCGTGAAGATCGCCGCCTAAGATTATTGGCCTTAAGTGACCGTTTCTCCACTACCAGGTCCATTGCAAATGAATGATTTGCAGAACACGGAAGACCTATTGGCATGCGAAGTGTTTACCGACGAATGAGAAGTTTTGGCTTGTTTTCATACCGGCCACACTGGGTCGTCCCTTTAACTCGAGAACACCGACGTAATCGCCTTGAGTGGTGCAGACAACGGTCACTCTGGGATCAGGAATGGAACAGTATTGTCTTTAGTGACGAGTCTCGATTTTGTTTAGGCATGCACGATGGTCGTGCCAGGGTTAGAAGGCGACGTGGTGAAAGGAGGAATCCACAGTTTTTTGTTGAAAGACATGTTCATCACACTGTTGGAGTTATGGTTTGGGGTGCTATAGCTTATGGTTCCAGGTCACCTTTAATCTTCATCAGAGGTAACATGAACGCGCAGCGTTATATCCACGAAGTTCTAGAACCCCATATTTTACCCTATCTTGACACCCTGGCAGATCCAACTTTCCAACAAGATAATGCCCGACCACATGTTGCAAGAGTCACAATAGACTTCTTTCAACATAATGATGTCACATTGTTACCATGGCCACCAAGATCTCCCGACTTATCCCCAATTGAGCACGTGTGAGATATGATGGGTAGGAGATTGCTCAATTTGCAACGTCCTCCTCAGACTCTAGAAGCACTTCGAGAGGAGTTGGTGGTTGCCTGGAATGAGATACCACAGGAGGACATTGACCACCTGATCAGAAGCATGCCTAGGCGCGTTGGAGGATGCGTAGCACATCAGGGTGCATCCACACATTATTAAAGGTCAAAGGGCTTTAAAGCAGTGCAATCATTTTGAAATTTTTACCATTTACTTATTATGCTTCATTAAATACTTATACAAAATTTTATTAAAATAAAACCATTTAAACTGGGTGTTCGCATTTATATGTCACTTAGTATATGTTTATAAAATTGTGTAAGTTGTAGGATGTTGGTATTCGCTTTGTGGTCGCAATACATTTTGAACTTGTAAAAACCTGAGAGTCGCAGTCTCAGAGCTTTGCTACCTTGCACTGATTTCTTCAATTCGTCACTCTATAAATACGAATGTGGGACAAATACGTTTATTCGTTTCCTGAATCTTGAAAAGGAAAGTGCTAAGAAAATATTTTAAAAAATATAAACAGATAGTATATCACACAAATTATAGTGAGTCTGTGTTATTTTGTTTGAGAGTGCTGGAGAAAAGTAAGTACAGTATTCTTTATTAAATTTTAGTTTTGTACTCGTAGTTAGCAAAGATAGATAAATTATCATCATAATCATGACTTTAGTTATTAGTAGTTAAATATTCAATCATGCAAAATTACACGAGTACTCCTTAATAGTTTCTTTTTGAAAGTTTTAGCAATCGGTAATATAATTACAGTGCAATCTCCGTAATTCGAGCTAATTGTTGCAAGAAGATGTTCGAATTATGGAATGTTTTCGGAAAAATCAAAAAATATTTTTGATATACAGCTGCTGGAATTTCTGTCTTATTTAAATAATTTAATTTTGCCCACAGATGACTGATGCCATGTCCGAATCTAAAAAGAAATGTAGACAGTATAGTGTTGATTATTTGAAATTTGGCTTCATTCCATCATTGCCAGACAAACAATCGCCTATGTGCCTTTTATGCAACAAAGTTTTGGGCAATGACGCTATGAAACCATCTAAACTGCAAGATCATCTGAGAAGATGCCACCCTGATAAAACAGAGAAAGATTTGAAATACTTTCAAACACCCAAAGATAAATTTCAGAAGAGACCTACATTGGACAGAATGTTCGCTTCGACGTCACTACAATATCTCGTTACTTATAGCAAAATCCGGAAAACCGCATACTATCGGAGAGAAGTTAATTTTGCCAGCCGTTGAAGAGGTTTTAAAAACTGTTTTTTTTTTTATTATGAATCAAGAAATCTACGAAGAACTTCCCTTCGCAAGAACTTTGATAACCGACACTAAAGGTGAATCAATATTTCATATTTTGAAGGATTACTTCATTGAAAAAGCAATTCCTTTATCAAATATAATATCAGTAGCTACAGATGGAGCACGTGCCATGGTTGGACGTTATCGTGGATTTATAAGCTATTTAAAACAAAATGTGTCAGGGGTGTTAGCAACACATTCCGTCATCTATCGACAACATTTAGTTGCTAAAAATTTGAGTGTTAGATTGCATGAATCACTTCATTTAGTCATTGATGCAGTAAACCGAATCCGAAGCAACGCGTTGAATACGCGGTTATTTGGCTGCCGAAAGGCTTATGTTTGACAAGATTTTTTGCACTTTTTGAGACTATTTTAGAATTTCTGGATACTAAAGATAAAATTTTAAAAGAAAATTTAATGAAGAGGAAAACAGACATCACCTATTTAACAGATTTGTTTACAAAATTTAATATGGTTAATTTGCAATTACAAGGCGACAGTTTAAATTTGATTAAAACAAAGTCCATCTTATCAGCGTTTCTTGCCAGAGTCAAACTAATGAAAATATTGGACGGGGCGAATTTTCTCATTTCCCCAATTTGTCACAGACAAGCTGCCAGGAAGATGACGTTTCAACTTACGTTCAACATTTAAACGCCCTCTATTCAGATTTTGAATCTAGGTTTGAGGATATTTTGACTATGGTAATACCACCGTGGATAATTAATCCATATGGTGACATAGAAGAAATGAGTGTCATAATACAAGAGGAGAGTACAAACGAAGAACTTAAGGTTCAGTTTAAAAACGGATATCAGCAATTCTGGCTGCAAAACAACATACCCGTTACTTATCCCGTATTATGGAATATAGCGAGGAAATTTTTAATTTCCTTTCCATCGTCATACCTAGTGGAAAGGGGGTTCAGTGCTGTTACCAATCTCCTAACGAAAAAAAGAAACAGACTGGACATCATTAGCCGAGGAGATTTAAGATTAACCCATACAAAATTGACGCCCAATGTTGATAATTTATTATTAAAGCATCAGGTTCATCATTTTCACTAAAAATATTGACTTATTGCTTATGTTATTTTATGTATAGTTTATTTTATGTTTACTGATGTCTGACCAATAAATGCCCGCATTGGGAATAAGTGCCCGCATTGATTTTTTTAAAGAACCCCCCTTTATAGAATATATTTTTTTTAATTATTCTGAAAATTCAAGGATAGGTACACACTAAAATTCGCCTATTGCCTATTTTTAGATAACTTAAACGTATAAGAAGCGGAATTTAATCAAACTAACAGTGAAATTATTGTAGAACATACGTTTATGTTATAATTAATAAACGAACACGCTTACTGTACTATTTTAAGTAAAAAACTTTTTTTTATTATTTTTCACTTTTTTTTTATTTTATCCCTCTTATTTTTTTTTCAATGCGGGCACTTACTCCCAATGCGGGCACTTATTGGTCAGACACCTGTTTATTTAATGTTACGTATATTTTACATAACAGATACAAAATTTTATTTTGAGTAATTTTAATTTAAATTCAATTAATAAATGTATAAATTGACATGTGTTTTTACTTTAAGTTTTTAACACTAAACTTCACTACAATTAGAAATTTACAGGAAATCAATATCAGGTAAGTAGGGGGTCTACCCAACACGGAAAAACATGGCAAGGAGTCTACGACACAAAAAAGTTTGGGGAACTCTGGTGTAGACAAAAGACTCTCAAATTTGTTTCCACACCTTTTACAAGCAAATCCCTACATATCTATGCTATAAGGGATAAACAAGACTCATTTCCATTGCACTTGAAGTCAAAGCCATATGTAGTAACCATTCAACATAACAGGATGAAAATCAAATACGAATCATGATCCCAGTTGTAAGTTCAAAACGATGATCTATCGGCATGTATCAATGATCTGTGATCATGCTTTGTAAAAAATGGTTTTCCTAACCATCTCGCTCTCCATAGGTATAGATACGAGCAGTACTTCTTGTTGCACACAGCTGAATAATTATATGCAGCATACAAAACAAACATAAATAAATAAATTATCTAGTCGTAATAGGGGAATAATTTAATACAACCGGCACTGTCGTGTATTTTAAACGTTAATGGCACTGACAGTTTGACGTATGCTGATTAATATTAATATTGGAGGGCATCATTACTGTATACTCGTGTGCGCGGCTCAATGCTCTATCGAAAACCTTTCACCGGAGTATAGTCGGATCATAATGGGTTCTTTAACAAAGTGGAACTTATTATTGCCATTTTAAATGTTTAGACAATTTGGACGTAAAGCGTCTCTTCGACCTCCATTGTCTGCAAAATCTGCGTTTTGCGGTGTTCTAATTCATATATCCTCAAGAATCTTCGAGTGAATTGTTCTGTATTATGTTATTTTCCTGGTGGCCACTTGAATAATGAATAATAAATCGAAACGTTGTGCAGAATGATGTGATGACTTGTGTTACGTAAATCAAAGAAACAGCAATTCAAAAAACCAGATTAGACCATAGTTAACTGAAAAAGTATATCATCAGAAACAGATCCTCGGTTCTTGATTTTCACTTCAAGTCATATTTCTTAATTACCCGTATAACTGTTATTGCCAATATGATTGCATAGCATTCGTATTCTTCGATTCTACACCTGATTGCTCTGGAAATCCAGATTTATTTATTTATTCATTTATTTATCTATTTATTTCCTCTCGACAAAGAACATTGTATACGAATAGTCATAGATTTTGAACTTAAATGCAGCAACCTATATCTAACTAAAAACAGCCAAATCGTAAAAAAAGATTTAACGGCAGATATCTGTTTTCAATTAAATAGTATTTTAAGAAATTTCTAATGTCTTTAGATGTTAAACATTTTTGTTATTATTATTTGGGGACTTACACATAATTTGAGCTCTATAGGGTTGGATATATATACATACTAATGAATTTGACTTAATGGTAGAATCTGTCAAAATTTAATAATAATAATAATAAATTAAGCCTCGTTATTACATAGTTACAGTGCTGCTTCCATTCCATACAGGAATCCAAATAGGCGCCAACGACTTTATTATAATCCAATTATTGATATACTAAGTGACATATAAATCCGAACCCCCAGTTTAAATGGTTTTATTTTAATAAAAGTTGGTGAATTTATTTATCTTACTGTAAATAACAAGTGACAAAATTTTCAGCCTTATCAGTTGGACATTCCGGTTTTTATACTGCTTTTTTTAATTCACTAACGCTCTAAAAATAAATATTTCAGCCGCAGTAAAGAATCAACGTTGGCGGATTTTGGTTCTTGACATCCTTTACGATCGGTTAAGATGCCTAGAGTACGGAGACCTGTACGATTTCGTCAACTTAGTGAGTTTGATAGGGGCCGTATAGTGGGACTTCGAGAAGCTGGACTTTCTTTTCGGGCAATTGCAGTTAGAGTGCAAAGACGTGTAGACACTGTGGTTAGATGTTGTCAGGCATGGCTTCGAGAAGGCCGTACGCAAAGAGCAAGGGGCACTGGACGCCCCCGTAGAACAACAGACCGTGAAGATCGCCGCCTAAGATTATTGGCCTTAAGGGACCGTTTCTCCACTACCAGGTCCATTGCAAATGAATGGTTTGCAGAACACGGAAGACCTATTGGCAAGCGAAGTGTTTACCGACGAATGAGAAGTTTTGGCTTGTTTTCATACCGGCCACACTGGGTCCTCCCTTTAACTCGAGAACACCGACGTAATCGCCTTGAGTGGTGCAGACAACGGTCACTCTGGGATCAGGAATGGAACAGTATTGTCTTTAGTGACGAGTCTCGATTTTGTTTAGGCAGAATCCCATCTTTTACCCTGTCTTGACACCCTGGCAGATCCAACTTTCCAACAAGATAATGCCCGACCACATGTTGCAAGAGTCACAATAGACTTCTTTCAACATAATGATGACACATTGTTACCATGGCCACCAAGATCTCCCGACTTATCCCCAATTGAGCACGTGTGGGATATGATGGGTAGGAGATTGCTCAATTTGCAACGTCCTCTAGAAGCACTTCGAGAGGAGTTGGTGGTTGCCTGGAATGAATTACCACAGGAAGACATTGACCACCTGATCAGAAGCATGCCTAGGCGCTTTGGAGAATGTGTAGCACATCAGGGTGCATCCACACATTATTAAAGGTCAAAGGGCTTTAGAGCAGTGCAATCATTTTAAAATTTTTATCATTTACTTATTATGCTTCATTAAGTACTTATACAAAGTTTTATTAAAATAAAACCATTTAAACTGGGTGTTCGGATTTATATGTCACTTAGTATATTAACGTTATTCAATTCGAAACTTAACTCTTTGCAATTTCTGCCTTGCGTGGATATGTTATTCTTTGAAAACCAGTTATGCAACCTAGATGATGGAACATCTACAGGTATATTGTCTTGCATCAGGAACAACATGAGAACCCGTTTACATGAAGAAAAAATAAAACAGGGCCGAAAACAGTCCCTGTGAGGCACCCATTAATCCTTCTTCAATCGTAGCATCAAGTTCAACCCTAATACCACGAGAGTTCAAATGGCGTATAGCCACATACTAGCTTTCTGTTGTAATGATGACTCATTATCAAATCAAAAATCACGAATACCGCCAGTACGCAAAAAGAAAAGCATAAAAGTTGAATCAGTACAGAAAGTGTATTTATTGCCTTCCCACTTTCTCATATGATCAATATCTTACGGTAATATATTTAACTTCATATACGTTTGCTGACGTACTTAGATAAGAGGCAACAAAGTATAAAGAATGGTGTTGGAGAAAATGGAGTTCCAAAATTTGGATTTTGTCGAACTAAATATTACGACACAACAAAATTAATGAATATTGTTACATGACTTGATAGAGTGTCATTCAAATATGATTTCGGGTCATAATTGTTGGTCTATAAAGTACATAATATTTCGTCTTTAATTGTCGAAAATCAAAATGCAGTAACATGTGATTTACTTCCTTTATTCTCCGCAAAAACGAATTTACTGCTCTTTTTCGTGGTTTTCATAATACAGGTATATACTCATTAGACATTAGACATTAGAAGTGTTACACTCAGAAAACATTATTTCATAAGCTGCATTTTTTGACAATGAGGTAGTCTTATATCAAAAATGAAACGATAACATTCTCTCAAATTTTTATTGACAAACTATAAGAAAAATTGATAATGTGATGGGTGACTTCGCAGCTGAATATACTCCTGTATACGTCTTGGCATCAACAAAATGAGATGATCGATGTCTGCTTGTGGCGCCTCGTTCCAAGCAACTCGAACTTTATAGATTTGCTGTGGCAGAGTCTGTAGCTGATGGTACAAAGTGGATAGCCTCGTCCCCATCATATCCCACACAAGTTTGATGGGACTTAAATCCGCTGATCGGGATGGCGACGGCAACATTAACGCCTGCTTCTTGAAGAAAGTCAGTAGCACGTCGAGCAATATGGGGACGTGCGTTGTCTTGCTGAAAAAGGACGTGTGGACGGCCCTCTAGATATGGCAGTAAGGTGGTTTGTAGGACATTATCAACATAACGCGCAGCAGTGATATTGCATTGAACAAAGAGAAAAGGTGATCGGCTACCATAGGCAATAGCCCCCCAAACTATTACTCCAAGACTCCTGTGTACATGCCTCTCAACAGCAAATCCAATATCACGCCGATTTCCAGGGCGGCGTCTTACCCTTCTACGACCATCGTGCGTACCTAGACAGACTCGCGATTCGTCGGTGAAGATGACATTATGCCATTCTGCCTCCCAATGTTGCAGTTGTCTGC